CATCAGAAGGGACTCCAGTGTTGCCTTCCACCCTACAATGAGCAAAAGAGTCAGAAATCATCTCTCCTCGCCCACAAAGACTAGAGTAGGATTAAGAAACAGAAATTTAAGAGTCAGACACACCCTTGAAGAGGAATGAGGCACAAGGTTAGGAAGCCATCCAAAGCTTGGTTGCCTATCCTCTTACTAAACTAAACTAAAAGGTCTCTTTTTGCTCAAGAAGGCAGCTGAAAAGCAAGGGGAACAAAAATTAAAATCAGATTGAAACCAGCCATGCCTAAGCAATATCCCATCTTAAATGTGCCCAGATCAGTTTCATTAAAATATTTCCCCATTCTCTCTTTTTCCACCTCCTAGTACTTCGGCTGTTTCCTTCAGCTTCTCTTTAAACTGCAAAGCAAAATGCTTTTACTGACATGGTTTGAAATTTTGAAGCCCTAATCTTAAGAAGCAGGTGCTTAGTTTTAATGGAATTTTTCCATCTCTGAATGTCTGGGAGCATCAGTAGCACCTCCCTCCTACACAGCCCCTCACCTTTGATCCTTTGCCATTTGTTCTTTTGGGTTTTCATTTACTGTATTTCTTCTGCTTTCCAGAATCTGCTTTTTCACTGCAAACCCCTCGACCTCTCCTCTCCTTTCTTTTACCTCATACGATTGGCAAGTGCCGTCTCCTAAAAATCTTTACAGAATATGAAGGGCCTTGCTGCCTCTGGCCTCCCTATCTCTGGCCTCATTTTCAGCAGCACTGTCTACTTTACACTGCACTGGCAATTTAAAAGGGCATTAGAGAGGTTGTAAATATTTGCATCACAAAGACAATTATATTTTAATTGCCAGAGGTCCTAGCGCTTCTCTGCACAAAATAACTGGAACCAAAATAACAGTTGGTTTTACTTCATACAATTAGTTATTTTGGAGCAAGTCTGTGGGTGGGCACTTTTGTTCCATACCAACAGTTTTTGTTTCCATTTAATTTTAGCTTTTTGGTTACTCTGAATTTCTTTATTTTTCTCTTATAATTTCCTATTTTGAGTTAATGTAAATGATTTTGTAGAGGCATAATCTCCAGCAAAATCCAAGGGAAAAGTATCCACACGCTGTTTGAAATGGCATGTCCAAAAGCGAGGATTAAAAGTAGCTGTGTCAACTTCAGTTTGTGGAAAAAATGAGATTCACATCCTAACATTAGAACTAGAGGTGCTGTAGTAAGTGAATGCCTGCTCTGCCTTGGTGCTGGCAGACTGCTCGTGAACACAGTACAATTTGACAAAGTCTAATCATTAGTTGTTTCTTATATCCAGGAATGCATCTCCCTAGTTTGTGCTTTAGTTAGTCTTCTAAATGTATTTGTATTTGGTGACTAAAGAATAATTTCTTTTTATCTTCATTTGCCTTTCTACAGCTTACCAGATGCACATGCATATCAGTATATAGCACTTGCTCAAGAAGCAATGACAAGTTGAATAAATGACCATAACTTTATTACCTAATAACTTGATGTTTATTTGACTGAAAACTCTGCCTTTTAAAATATGAATCTGCACTGTGCAGCAGTAAATCACAAGGGCTCACATACCTTTTTCATAATTGAATTTTAATTGAGTTTTCCATTCTTAACAAGGCAACCCAATTCCAGAAAGTTATACCAGCCACTTCCTTAATTGACAAAGCTCAAAGGCTATCTTCTGCACTGACAGCATGCAAAAATGTTTAATGCTAACACAAATACCTTTCATAGATCATTCTGATTCTCAGGCTGATTTCTAAGCCAGCTGTTCTCTGCCTGATTCAATGTGCAGATTTCATTTTAAAACACAGAATATTCCCTGGTTACCTGCCATATAACTAGATCTTACAGGTGTAGGGCATGTTTGTAATGCTTGTTCATCCACTTGCAGGAAAAAAAATCATAAAATAAAATACTTTGTGTAGCTTTCCTGGATTCTAATGCTTTCTTTCCAACTTTCAGATACTGTATCCACTGAAGAATGCCAGGAATTACTTCATGCCTTATATATGTACCTGTTACAGATTATTTTCATTAATTTCAAAGCCAGCTGCTATTTTTGCTTAAAGTAATCCTTGACAGTACACTTTATATACACACATATATAAAAAAGAACTGCTTGCTATGACATACAAACATTTAAATCTACTCTGATTATAGATCTCTTACTGCTTTGTTCTTTTTCATGTAGGTAAGGTAACAAGCTTCCTGCTTCTCCTGGGGCTTATTCTCTGTATAGCAATTTTGACAAACTAATAACACCAAATACAAAAGAAAATTATGCAAATATAAGAAACTCATCACAGGAAACTAATAATCACCTAATAGTAAGGTCAACCGTAGTACAGACTGCAGAGATGGGAATCCAAGCAGTTGGATTTGGCTCCTTGCTCTATCACCAATCAACACTGTGATCACAGGCAAATCACATTCCCTTGCCATATCCTTATATTTCCTGTACAGTTGTGTTAGCCTTGCATAATTAGATTATAAAATGTTAGGGACTGAAGTCATCTCTTATTGTTTGTTTATACAGTGTCTGACACAACGGGTCCCACTTTGTATTAGAATGAAATACAAATAATAATGTTCTGATATCCTGTCTCCCAGAGCTGCTTCAGAGGAGCATGAACCACTGTCCCAAGTCATATCTGATAAATTGTGCATTACTCTGTTGTGGGAGAGATTTCTTTCTAATCCGAAATCCATCTGTCTTGCTGTGCTGCAAGTGATAGTTTCTGGGCAGAGAGCATACTAATTGCAGGATTAAACTCTTAGCTAACTCTTGGGTGGAAACTGTTTCCCATAATGTGGTAGAAAACACATGTTGGTTTCTGTCTGCAGATCCTTGAACATCACAGCCCTGATCTTGACTGAGATATTTAGATTCTCTATTGAACTATGTCTGTGCAATAGAATTCAATTAAAATGAAGTAATAACTAGCTATCAAAAAGTATTATTGATATTTTAGTGGCTCCAGTACTGCTTAGCCTGGTTTAGTTCCCCTTTGAAGGCAGAGACAATTGTGCTCAATGTAATGAATTCCGCACCTTCTCCAAATAAGTAGCATGCAAATTTAGAGCTGAAAAATTAACTATAATTTTGGTGAACTGTTTTAGGATTGTTTTAATTCTACAAACACACAGAGATTTGAAACTTTTAAAATCTAAAATACATCACTGTGTATAACATTTTGCTACAATGTCTCTCATTTCTGTGGATGTGCACATTATTTATTATTCACTGAGGTGAATGGCTGACATTATTGATGTCAGACACAGACCCCACTGGCAAGCTCCAAGAAACAGCTGGCCCCCAACACCTTTTCTTCCCATGGGTACATAGAGGGGCAGACATCAGACTGCCAGACAAAAATGTGGAGGAAATATTTCGGAAATTATTCTGTTTGCATCTCATCTTCTTGGGATTCTCCAGTCAAAAGCCATCTTGGTAACAAAATACTGAAGTTCCCATATTGTTAAAATCTACTGAAGATGCTGAAGACCACCACAGTTTTCATGAAAAGCGAGAATGTTAGAGATTGCTACTTGTTGTTTTAATGTAATTTTGATGGTTCTGGTTGCAGTGCAACCATAAGACACCACAGGCAGTAAAACCCAACCAAGGGCTCTCCACTATATTTTGCAATATTTGAACCAAATCCCCATGGCAGAAAGCAGTAGTAAACCTAAGACCAAAGTTAGCTGGGTGAAGGGGATGAAAGGAGTAGAGTGAGATATGCAGTGGGCTGGGGCAATCGATGCTTTTTATGCTCAGGAGTTCAGAAAAACAGATTTTTGTTTGGAAAAACGCAGTTGTTCTAGAGCATGGGATTAAGGATTCTAGAGTGGAAGCTAAGGATTTCCATCCTTAGCTTCTGTTCCCACCACCTTCTGACTCCTCTCTGCCCTTATCCTGAGGTGGCCTAACCCAACTCCTGTTACCACAGCGAGGTCTGCCTTTCCAACTAAGCTATTTCCTTATTTCTCTGCTTGGCACTACTCGTTCTCCTTTACCAACTTACCTCATGTGGGCAAACCTTCACCCTTTCATAGAAACTATAAAAGCTAACATAAAAGGAGAAAAACACTCATAGTGGCTCAGTACACTAGGCCGCTGACAGTAGTCAAAAGTAGGTGCTCTTGAAGGAGTACAAGAATACAGCAGGAACATGCAATATTTCCCCAAGATACTTTCCCAGCCTCTCACAATTCGCCATCCAGCTCCACTATCCCACTCTCTTATGCATACTCCCCTGTTCTTCCCAAATCCCTCTCCCTAGTCTCCCATTAACCAACGCCTACTCTAACATCCTGAGGATAATCACCACAAGGAACTTAATACACCATGAGATAATATATCCCATGTAGCTCAATTATTCATCAACCTTCAATGCTCTTTCTGGTTCCCAAAGCCCACAATTCCCCGCAGCACTCTCCATTGAACCCGAAGCCCTATTCTCCCTCACTCCTTCTCCCACTCCTTCTGCAAAACCTTCTACTGACCTTAAATATTGAATACTCTGAATGCTTATTCTTCACTGTTCACATTTTTCCAGCTCCTTCATTAATCAGTGTACTCCCTCATCTATTTCTTACATAAACTGACCAGTTGCACATTGCACAGTGAAAGCAATACTTGAGACCAAGAGAAAGATTAGCAAGCGCTTCTGAGTAAATAGAACATACTTGCTGAATTCCTCCTCTGGATTTGTTAGATCTCTGCAGCTGGGATTTATCCTTAATGATAAGCCAAGTAACCTCACTTCACAGCATGCACTGTAACCAACATATTTTAAGCAGGTGTGGGAAAATTCAGAAAAGCACTAATGACTCCTAAAAGTACTAGCAGAACCTGAATTCATGCTGGAAAATGTAGTGCCAATTTAATACATAGAGCAAATTTTTGTAATTTCTGTGTCTGGGTTTTCCAGTCTTCTTAGAGGCCGACCACAAACAAAACTGAAAACAGATCCAGATAAAGAAATCAATTAGGGTGGACTTATTTATTTTTACGTTATTTAGAACTTTCAGTGGAACTATGTCATTTACGTACATGCAACAGCAATCTTAGGGTACCACAGACTTCTGTATTGGATATGAGAAACAACCTCTTTCATCAGAGAAATCCAAAGGCTGTTTCTTTTGGGTGACTCGGAGGAAAGACATGACCGCAGCATCTGTATTCATTCTCTTAGGTCAATCAAAAGGAATGGACTCTCAGCTACTTAAGTACGGCACTAGGACAAGCTAATCCAGGTGAGCATATGCTTCCCCTCCATCTCTATTCCCAACCAGTTTTGACTCATAATATGACTAGAGAGAAATAAGGCCACAGTTTCCACAAATGACTGAGTAGGAACTCATGATGCTTTTACTTTTGGATCTGAGCTGCTTGTGGTAGTCCTAATTTAAAGAAAGTGCACTCTCTGAAGTTCAGTCTAGAATGCATCTTCAGATGGGTAAATAAAATCACTTATCAACTTTGAAAAGTTAATCTTAATTAGTATTTTTGTGCTGTAGCTGTCCTCTTTTGTAAAGCCTTCTGAATCCTTTTGAAAATGTTATACAATGTCAGTGCAAATTCTATTAAAATAATTATGTCCTGCTTGGTTTACAGAGAGAGCGTACATGGAGAACACACCTCTGCTTTATATGGTGTGCTTTCCGTGACATGCGGAAACTGCTGTTGAATAATCCTGCACGCAAATAATCCTTACATCTGTGTATAAGCAAACCCACAAGTTTCACAGAAGTTGCTCACACTGGATGTTTTTAGAGTGAGAAAGACAGAAAGGAAAACCATGTTATTTCTCATTAGTTTTAATTAAAGCAGTGGATGATTTCCTTATTCCCATTCATACTAAGGTATATTTTACAACTTGAACAGTTTATAATAGGATTCAGATCCCAGTTTTTAAATTAAGCTTTGACTCTCACTATCCACCACATTTAATTAAAAGACCATAAATAGCGCTGCTTTCAAATAAAAGATCTAGGACCAGATTCAACAAGTATTTAATCCTTTAAGCATAGTGTAAAATCAATGTAAAGGATTGTAAAAAGGATTTAGGAATCAATGTGTTTTGGTGAACCTGGGCCATCTTTAAGATTTTTCTGAGCATTTCAGAAATCAGGTCCCTTCGTCAATGGCCACAAACTGTAACTTAGGGAAAGTAAACCACTGATCGCTTAAAATTCTTTCTGTTGTTATTTCTGGATAAAAATCACAATGAGGATACACAAATAATGTGCTATTTTCATTACAAGATAACACCGAGTTAACAATAACCTTTCAGGGAGAAACTATTGTTAGAGGAAAGCTCTTAAGAAAGGAAGTAAAAAGAAGGGAGAAAGGAGAGAGCAACTGTGAATGTGGGAAAATAAAGGAAGAAAATGCTACAAAGTTTTTAGAAGAACTGCTTATATTCATCCACATCTGAATCCTGATCCAGATATGTCAATATCAATAGTAATAACAGTGCTATGATCATGTGGAAAAATTCTATGACTGCACTACAGCACTGTAGCATAGAAATGGAAATACATTGAAAGCAGCTTTCTTCCAAGATTGGGAAATTTTAAATTAAGTGATAGAAACTGAGGAGGTCTGAGGTTTATTAGAAGACTGAACTACAAGGTGTGATATTTCCCTTAAGTGCAAATCAAATACTGTCTGTGATATAGTAACATGCTCTTTAGAATTGTTAAAGAAGAGGAAAAACCAAAGAAAAACCCTACAGAATTGTAACACACTTTGCATAAGTACTTGTAAAAAACAGTGTTTCTGATGTGATGAATTCAGTATCAGTTCTTAGTCTCACACTTCCAGTATAACTGTATTTCACATTCATTAGTGGTCTAAACTCAGTGTTTGGAGAAGAAATAAATTCCATACCAGAACATCTAGATTTCTATTTCAATTGCTTACATGTGGATAAGCATCCTATTTATACATACAGATGTACTGATATTATAAAGATGCATACATACTTGCATTCATACAATGGGATGGTTACAAGATATATAGATACATAAACGCTTACACAGCACATATACAGTCACTTTCATTAGTAAGACACTGAGGTTTTCAGATGCTTACTATCCACATGGAGAGTATTATTAACAAAAGAAGGCACATGGTTTCAGGTTGCTTCCTTCTAAAAAAAAAAAAAGCCTGACTGTTATGAAATGACATCTTTGACATTTCCAGTACAAATCTGATGTGGAACAACCACCGGACACAGAGTCATAAGATTCTAGCACTGTCACTAACTCGCTATACAGCTTTACATAGTTACTCTGTGTGGTTGTGATCCGCTAAATCATTTCAGCGTGTGCTGAAATGACCCAGTCTCTTCAGCTGTAATACAGTGATAGTGCTATTTGCTGACTTAACCCTTAGGATATTATGAAGACCTAGGTACCACTTGCATGGAGCACTCAAGTTGCAGAGCAGCAGCTACAGTGTTGTTACCGCTACGACTATTAAAATTTCTTCAGAACAATGACACTAAACTTTTTCTACAACACATGCCTGGATGCAACAGATATAAGACATGTTCCCTTTGTGGTGTGTGCCCCACTCAGTCCTAATCTCGTTAGTGTCCCCAGTCAGAAACCTGGCTGGGCATGGCATTGTCTCCTTCCCACTGATCCATCCTATTTTCTTTCCAGAAGAAACTGTGGCAGAGGAAAGCAAAGGGCAATGACAGCCCAGCTCACGGAGCGCGGGGGTGTTCAGCCAGCCGGCTCTGTGAGCTGTGAAGGTCCCTGGGCTGCACAGAACAGGCTCGTGGAGACCAGACAGAGAGAGCAGGGGAAGAGGCAGTGAGAGGCCAGCGCCTGGAACATGTCATCGTTCCTCTGCAATGAGGAAAGGATGGCCCAGGGATGAGTAGGTATTCAAGGACTGCAGTGCAGAAAACTCATTTATTGTGACCCTAGGGAAATTGTTCTCCGTCCCTGTGAAACAGGGATAATAGTTCTTAAGTGGTTCTCAAGATGTTAAGGTTTACGATTTTATCTATTGTTTTGATGCAATGGTAATAGACCTATTGAAGTGTCTTAATCAAATAGGAGCTGTAATTTCCAATTAAATTTATGCAAAAAATTTGAACACTGTTATAAATGAAAAGTCAAACTTATTAATTTCATATGAGTTAAAGTAATTGCTACTTGAGACAAAAATTAAATAGACTGTTATGACTACTAAGGGCACACTGCAACACTAGCATGGACACTTAACTTCTTTTCTCATTTAAGAGAAAAGCAAGGCCACTTTTCAGCTTCTGCGACACTGCCTAGAAGGCATTAACCTTCTCCTGTAGAGACACACTTCTAAGAGAAAATGGGACTTTATTACTCATACCCACTGAAAGCACTAAAATATTTAGATACAAGTGAAACTGTTATCTCTGACTACTGCCCACCTACTAGAACAGAACAGTCTTTGCAGAGATTTTATGCAAGCGGCTTACAACTGCTGTCCAATGAGTATGACTTAAGAGCTTTGAGAAAAGGCTTTTAGCAATTCAGATCTCAATGGTGGTATTTTTGTCTGTCATATATGATGGACTCTGTCTTGAGGTGAAAAACGTACAGATGATAGATCCTGAAAAGTATCAAATATTTTAAAGCCTTCCAAAGGATACCTTGTACAAAGGGTAAGATACTGAAAGTAAAGAAAATGAACCTTCATTTTAGCTGAGAGTGTGCCTTTAAGGCATTAATAACAAATGCTAAAATACCAACAGGAAACTTTTCCAAACTGGTTATGATTAGCTGTTCTAATTCTGTATACTGCCCCGAGGAATTTGAACACCCATTGAAACCAAGGATCTTCCTTTACACAAGGAGACATAAAACATAATCCCTTCGACTTTAAGGCAAGTAACTTCCAAGGGATTTGCTACAGCGATTTATTTGCAACAGGTTTGCTGCAATAATAACTTTTCACTGCAAGTACACAATGTCTGTCTTTTGCAAAATATTTCCACTTCATTTTCTATCAGAGGGCCACCAATCCTTTGTGCCAGGATTTCATAAAATTAATAAATCTACTTCCATAATCCTTGCTGCTTTTACTGACAAATGTAATAAACTACAGGATGCAAAACTCTGGAAGCCTACTGGGATTTATTTTCTTTTTTTTTTTCCTTGACAAGCTTTACAGAGTAGCACTTCTGAGACATGCTCATGTGCTGTAAACCTAATCCTTAGCAATTTCCTCTTTTCTCAAATAACCCAAATATTTTATGAATAGTGAAGGATTTCCTTTATCAGACAACACTTGCTTTTTTTTTTTCTTTTTTTACATGTGAGTTGTTCTCAAGGAAATACACTTTGAAGCAATTGGATGTTCTCAGGTTGACATCCACAAGATACGCTCCTAAGGAAACATGTGAAACTTGACTAAGAAGAAGGTGTCCTAGAGTTTAAGGGCCGTACAAGTGGTGAGAGGACTGTGGTCAAGCCTGGATGGGACTTGAGACCAAGGGAGTCTTGTTTTTTTCTAACCCCACCACAGTGGGCATTTTAGTGCTACTTTTTATGCTCATCTCTGTCCAAAATTTGCTTTTATTCTGTAGCATATCACACATTGATTCCTTTTTCAGAGTTGATGAGCCAGGGAGGTCAGAAAGGCTTCTGATATTTTCTGTTCTTAGTCCTCCTCTCCCCAAAATATGGGCGATACCCACCATTCCATCTAGCAGAATGTTTTTCCATACCCATAAGAACAAACACGTTTATGTGACTGTCTTACTCAGCTAGGCCTGCATCTCTGCCTCCCTTCTCTAAATTGACCCCATCCTTTGGCTGCTGGAGTTTTGGTTGGCAAGTGTGTTAGTGCACACACACACACACATCCCTACAGTGATATCAAATACCTTTGTGGAAACGATTCCTCAATGCAAAGTTTACTATAGCACTGATCCATCTGTGAAAAATTCTGATTTTTGCTGCAGAAAGAGCAATACGGCTGGAATACAGCTCTTAATGAAAAAGCCAGCACACTGGTTCCTATCACCTTCCTGCTCCCCCACATAATGGCTGCAATCACAACTCCACCTCATCCTTCTGCTGCTGAGAGACACCCTTGATTTGCCTGGGAAGTGGGGAATAGGGCAGTGTAAGCACAACTACTCCATTATTTCATGTTTATTCTAAAAGGACCAATAAAGGGATAAACACAAATCTTGGCTGAAATAACTGTGAGGAAAAATGGTTGAGGATTTTTTTGACATTTGGTTACCTACAGGAAGTCTTAAGACAGTCTAAAACTTACTTCTCAGCAAGAAGGAAAACTGCTCAAAATTTCCTTCAACTGACAAGCAACATGTAAGAAATTAATCAAATTGAAACAATTTTCATTTTGTTACACATCCAGCTCCAAATTAAATATTACAGGAGCACTAAAAATCTCGAGAAAATGCCCCATGAGGCATAGAAAACAATTAGCGGGCAAAAAAGAAGTATTCAGAACACCCCTCACCCTAGAAGTCCAAGCCAATTACAGTAGAAATAGTCAGTGATTCAGCACAAAGGCTCCTTGGCAGACTAGTGAGGAAAAGGCAAGACTCCAGCTGGGTCACTCAGAGAAAAAAAAAAAAAAAATGCAATAGTGCATCGTAAGGGCAGGATTTGAGTTTGCAGCCCTTAAAAAGGGGGACATTTAATTCAGTTCATGTCATTCCTAAAAGGACCTTCTTTGTTTATATTTGCTCGTCAAAAACATGAACCTAAAGTTTCCATTCAAAGTGGTTTGTTATCACAGGGTCACAGAGTTTTGCAACCACCAAGGGTCCCTCTTGTAGCTCAACTCAAAGAATGACGCATTTCTGGAGGGTTGGGCTCTGATGCTTCTGGGGAGGACAGAGCGCAACCCAAGACTTCACCATCAGGGATCCTGTGATGAGATTTCCTAAAAGAAAGAGTGGGGTCAAAGAGATGAGCTTCAGGTAGTTGCTCTGAGTAGCATGTTGAAGGGGTCTTTAACTTAACTGATAGAAGAAATAATCAGAAAAGGAAGTTGGGGATTTTTTTTTTTTTTTTTTTTTTCTGACAAGGGAAGCAGAACTTTGGCTATTGTCAGAGACGAGACAGGATGAGACACAGACCTTCCATCTGCCCAAGGATGATCACTCTTCTGTTCCTGAGTATGCATGAACCGTTCTTACAATTAATATGGGGAAGGCTAGAGATTAGAAAAGAGATAATGGAGAAGATAAAATAGGGGAAGAAGCAACAAAAAATGGAGACAAAACAGAGCTATGGAGGCAAAAAAATTAGTTGAGCAGTTTAGAGCAGAAAGAAGCAGAGGAGACTTTGATGTTAAAAGTGATGAAAAGGCTTATCGATGAGATTCAGAAGAGTCATCACTTGCAGCTGAGGAACTTCATATGATCACAAAAATTTTTCATAATATGCTCAGCCAACTGTGGCTGACTTTGTGAATAATGCAGTTAGGAACAGGAGTGAAATAACTGAGCTAAGTGACGGAGTGGTAGGAGCCAACAGCTGATTTGACAAAAGACAGCAAAAATGAAAAAAGCTAATTTGAATTCATTATGTCTGAAAAAAGTCAACTGCACAGGCTTGAGTTTCACTGGTGGACAGCATGATAAAGAAAAGGAAAGCAACTTCAAGATAGATTCTCAACTTCCTCTGCAATCAAAAGGTCTTGTCCAAGAAGTACAGCTTTTAGCAATTAATTTCCCTTAAAGATAAAGCTGCAGACAGTAAAAAATATATCCTTTAGGAATATTTAAAAAGCATATGTATGTACGATCTTATTTGCTTAAAAATAAAAAGATGAAGTTAAAATAAAAGTTTTTGCTGTTTTTTTTTTTTTTTTAAAGCAACTCTGTCTTCTAGCCCTTTTCATTATAATAGAACCACAGCATATCACAATACAAATACTGTTCATGCAAAACCATTGTCCTTACAGTGATACCAGTGGTGCCAGAAGTGTGAGGTTCATAAATTTTACTGTACAGCTGGAGGAGTATGTGCATGTGTTACAGTTCCACAGCACTCATATAAAACATTTAGAAAATAATAATTTTAAGGTGATACTGTCAATTTTTAAATAATGCTAGATATCTTTTCTTTTTTCCCATAGTATTGTTTCAGATAACACCTGGCAATACCATAATTGAAAGAGAACAAGGGATTTATTTCCTACTGCTCCAGCACAGACTGCATTTAGAAAGCAGGTTTCATGAGGGCTTTTAGATCAGGTTGTGAAATCTCCATCCTTGGAGGCTTTCAAGACTCAACCAGAAAAAGCCCCAGATGACCTGGTCTGAATTCAGCTCTGAGCCTGCTCTAGCCAGCGGGATTCTGGGATGCAGAACATCCAGCATAGACAATTTCAGTATTTCTCTCCTGGCAGTTCATCTTAACAATAGGCCCCTAGTCAAACAGTGTGTTCGTGACTCATTTTAGCAAGTAAGATTAAAGAACATGTAAAGGTAAACCTGGTATTTGAACAACTTCACTTGATCAGGGAGTGAGAGTGGGAAACTCAGTATCTGACACAGGGAAATGGGGTAAAAACTGACAAAAGCTGGGAGGAGGGATCACAAGTAGTCTTCATCAGTGTTATGTCTTCTGTATTACTCAGAATTGCACTTGTCTTTCACATGAAATATTTTAAACAAGGTCCTACATAACTTTTAATAAGTTCAGTTCTAACTGCAATGTATGAGGTTAACTGACCCAGCTTCAAACTGACTTTTTCAATCAAATCTCTCACAAGGCTCTCCCGGCTTTCATTAGGGGAAAATGTGAAACATGGCTTAAGGTTTTCCAAGGTGTCATGCAAAGATATTATCTTGAATCTCAAAAGGTTTATGGTCTGCAGTCCTCTCCCCTTTGCATGAGGGGAACCGGGGTGGCTGAAGTACGTTGCTAACAACAAACTGTGGTTCTGGAGACCTTCTGGATGTCCCTGTTTCGTCCTCCATTGCATGGTTTAGGCCTGCTCCAACAGGCTTGGTTTCAATCAGGCCAGTAAGCGATGTCTAAAAATCAATACCATTTAAGAAGCACCTCAAACCTGGCATCCAAAAATCACTTCTGAAAAACTCATGTTTTAAATACACTAAATACTTGCAAACCTGAGAAAAAACAGAAAAATGTAAACCATAAAAAAATTATAATTTTTCAGATTTTCTGTCCGCCTATGGATTTACACTGCCCCTCCAATATGCCACAAGCATTAAACTTTCAATTGGAAGCAAATGAGAACAATTCTCAGCCACCTCTTTCATAAAAACCCTTCAATCATTTGTAATGTTTTTTGACCAGTAAATAATAGAGCTGCTTCACTGAGCTATTTAAGTCATATTACTTACAGCTGGAGAAAAACGAGGAACAGTCATTTTCTAGGGAGGCCAAAAAATATGATACAGTCATGCAAACTAAATTAGATTAGGATTTTTTTGCCATTGGTTTGAGAAGATAAAGGATAACCTTTTCAACTTCTACTTTGCCTGGCATTGCATTTATATTTTCAAATGAAAGATCTCAAACACGGAACTTCACGAGTGTTAATAGGTTTCAGTCCTATCGCCAGTGTGCTGAGAGTAAATACAGATGGAACTACTGAAATATTGCTGCAGTTGGAATGTCCTTGCAGAGCCTCTTAAAACAGCATTCAGTGGCACTTAATTTCTTCTTAATCATGTGGTGTCAAATTATACACCACTGTGCAAAGGCTTGTTTAGCAGACGCCTGAGAAAGCATCTTCCCAGAGTTTTTTTTTTTTTTTTTTTTTTTATTTTTAGCAGGGGGAAGAAGGTAAATCTGCAGCCTTGACACTTTCCTGTACAGTCTCAGTGCTGTCCTCCAGTGTGCACTAAATACCTTCGTGGTCTCAGTGGCCGCAATAACGACAGCACCCAGATGTGCAGATAGGAGCTGGAGCTAGGACTAGACGAAGGTCCATTCTTCATGCTGGTACTGCACATACAGTCCTTCTCAGAGAGCCCTGGGCAGAGAGGTATTTCAGCTACCTGCTTGTATAATTATTATCACTTTTCAAACCCTGCATTTTGACCTGACACTTGCATTGGATGAAATCCGATCATGGCGCAGCATGTCTCAGCGCAGCTTCTCCACGGGCAATGGAGCTTTGTTAATAAACAGGGCTACTCTCCAGTCATCGTCCGTTCCTGTGCCGCAGCGCTTGCAGAATCACCACCGAGGGGTTCAGAAGAAGAAGAAAAAAAGTTAAATCAGGGAAGCATAGTGGATCCATTGTATTCTGAACCTCCTGCCATTTTCCATCACTTTCTCATTAAAAAATGGAACATTTAAAAGCATCTTCAGAGTACATACTTATTTTGAGTTATTGCTATTGTTTTTAATCTAGACAGAGGCTCAGCTGAACCAAAGCTGCACAATTAGAAGAAAACAACCCTTAATTTGAAGAGTTTACATGCTGAATTTACACTATTGAACTATGTAACAGTAGAGAGCCTCAAAAATACAGCAAAGGATATCAAAATATATTTATTCAAATTGAAGTTGGAATAAATAGATAAAAAATGTTCAGTTTTTCACCGTAATTCAAATTCTATGCTGAACTCCTATGAGACAGGACATGCTCTTTGCACCTCACACTATCCCCAAACAGCTTTATGGGAGAGAGTTACAGAATATATTGGCAAAGTACCCAGGGGGTAACGGACAGACATCTAGCCTTTCTCTCCTGCACCTTTAACTTCACTAACTGAAACAACTCAGGGGTTTCTCAGAAACCTAGTCTTCAATGAGTTACTAAAATATTCATCACAAACTTGACTGAAGAGCTACGACCATTTGCTGTATGCCGACTAGTATTGTCTCACTGGTTCTTCACGATCTTTATCAATTTGTTTTCTCCTATATTACACTTAAGATTACAAACTCCATGGGGAAGGGTCTACTTTCTTATTCTATTTGACTTATGCTTAGGGAACAGCACATAAGGGGATCTGTTCTCCAAACATATGTATCATCATGAATATATGGAGAACTTCACTGCCACAATTAATATGTCCTACACAGAATTCAGATTTCTAAGTTAACTTCCTCACCAGTTTCATATCAATAAACTATAGTCTCTAATTAGAAATGTTTCATATAACTGCATTTAAGAACAGCCAGAAGCTCTGAAAGGTTTAAGTAATGAGAAAAAAAAACAAAACCAGAGAGGCTACTTACTGCATTGTACAAATTAGCTGACACATTACAAGAAACACCCATCTTGCACTAACAATAGATAATCAGTTTTAGATCCTCTCTGCTGGGCCTTCTACCTCTCAGGAACTTGTAGCAAATTAAAAGTGTAAATTCATTAAACATCTTCATGTCTGAGGATACTAAAGAAGTAGTGGTTGCCCCATTATATCTTAAACTAAAAATTAAGGTGTTTTTCCAAGAGCAGGAGAAGCCACAAGCACAAATTGTGGCCCTCTCATTTAAAGAGGAGACCATCTTTCTCTCATCAGGCAACCCACGTATGCAAGAAACTGCTCTGTAACAGTTGCTGTGAGTCTCAGTAATTCTGATCTCTGTACATGAACAATGTACATAACTTAGTTAATAATGTACACTGCATATGCAACCTCAATTAATTGTTTGCCTAGTAACAATTTGGAGTATCAGGGAAAAATAATATCTCTCAGCTGTGGCGCTGGCTGTGGTTTTAGTTTGTTTTGCTTTTCCATTAGGAATCTGGTATTTGTGGCTGACATTTTTATAGCATTAATGGCAGGAAACAATATGAAAAGAATGCAGACAGAAGTGGAAAGCATTAACAGAAACATTTAGACCCATTGCAGGGACATTCTAATTATGATGGTGAGTAATAGACATGTAGCGGAAAAGGCCAGGTTCAATAAATGTTCATGGAATGAACTTCACACTTTAAATCTGAGTTTCAAGTCTAAAAAGCTGAAGACTTACAAAACGTTAATGAATGTTTGTTCTTTGTAGCATTGTACTGGATACGGGCCCCTTCAGTTCTGCAAACTACAAAGTACAACGGCATGAGATGGCAAAAAAAGTAAAGCCATAATCTAAGTTGTATCATCAAGCAGCTTCATTGAAAAGTCTGATTATTAAAAAATACCTGGGGCTAAATCACCAATTTAAGATGCCATCGGTTGTTTTAAGTTGTTTGCCTTTTCAAACACAGCTTGAGTTTCTGGCATTTGCAGTTAGAAGCTGAGGCATGATGAAAATTTGGGGTCAATGTGTCATGCTCAATTTGTTGTTATAAGAAGCACAGTATATTCTGTACTAATTGCATTTACTCATTGCCATATTTACTTCCATTAAAAAGCAATGACAAAAACAACATCACTGTTTAGTTTTACTCAAAGATGCAACAGATTTTGTCATTTGCTGGGCAACTGAATAAGTCAAAAAAAAAAAACTTATCACTGAATTTATGTACAATTGGAGACATATCTAGCTTTGTCTTATTAAATGAGGACCAGATCTAACCACCAGTGGAGTTAACAGAAGACTTCCCCTTACACTTCAGCAGGCATTGGATTAAAGCATTGTTTTTCGGTGAGTCACAATTTGCTACAGCTGTCATTTTATCAGTGTTGCAGACCTTATTTGTGCATTTCAATATATCCTTTCTTTTTATTTTGAGCTTTGGAAGTTTTCTTGTGGGCTGGGAAGGATGGCTTTCTCGGGAACTGATTTATTTAAAAATTCTGTTTTGAAGACAACTGAATGTGAAATGTATTGATCTAAGTACAACGATCTCCACAGTTCAGCTGCAAAGGATAGCAGCCAACCTCTGTACAGTGACTGCAGTTGGGTCCTACAGATGTTTGTGCACGTGAGTAACCGTACCTATTGACCAGTTCCATAGGTTCAGTAACTACTTGCCTCAGTAGTTACTGATGAGCGTGCCTGTTTGCAGGATCAAAGCCCCACTATGAAGCAGAAAGAAAACATCTCCTTGGAGGGAGCTACCAAACAGAAAATACACGAGGGGTAAGGAACAAAGGGATATTTCAAGATGAGGTTCTGCACTGAGAATAGATGAGTCATGGAAAAGATGCGAAGTGATTCATTAATACCACAAGCTTAGCCAGTGAAGAATGCCCAAGTATGAAACTAATGACTGTGCTTTTACGATACTACCAAACTATTTGCTTTTGTAAACTTAATATAGGAATAATTTTCTCCCATTTTGAAAATTTATTATGCAATAAGTTGTCACTTTAATAAACTGCATGCACGGCTGTGATAACGGTTGCTCAAAATACTGAGGGCTTTACAGTTTTTGTTTTAAAAAAGAAAAACACTAGGAACTTCAAGTCCTGCCAATTTTTCCTCTCTGCCAAGTCCTATTAGCATAAATGAACGGTTTATTTTAAGAAATGCCTAATAAATTACTCTACACAATCAGTAATGAGGGTACTGTCAGCAAAGGAGAATCATTTCCAAAATTTACTTGGCACAAATGAGTGGCTGACTAGCTCACAATCATGTTACATGGCCTGAGGCCCTGTTTTATTCCATAAATCTGCCTGACCTCTTCAGGGTGAAAATTAGTGATTCTATGGAAAGGGTAGCTGGGCAAACCTGTTCTGTTTGTGCCTTTTCCTCTTTTTTTTTAAAAAAATAAGAGATTCAAACTATCTGTGGGTCTATTCCTATAGCTTCATCTTTTTTGGCAGAGTGAAGCTGCATCTTAAAATTATTGTCATAGGTTGTGTATTAAAATTACACATCTTTTTCTATCACAAATGACAAGAAACAAAAACATAAAGCCAAAAAGGATACAACGTCTTAAGAAAAAATGAGAGGCCATAAGTCTTCATCCTGCTTCAGATAGTCTCTTAACATGAGTGAGTTATCTAACAAATCAATTCTCTTTCCTTTTTAGAATATAGTTTCAAAAGTCGAGAGGAATCCCTTGGCACGGATTACTGTGTCAATTAGCAAATGAAGCCAATAATCATTCATCATCTCTTCTAAACATTCCCTGGTAAAAGTCCCTAAATACTTTACTCATCATTGCTATGGAATTCATTACATTAAAGCAGGGGGAAAACCTTTCAAAGAAATAATTTAAGATTGTAAGATTAAAACAAAGGCCTAAGAAATCATTTACGCTCCCTTCTTCCAGCACTGCAAATTATTTCCAATTGTCATTCCTTTTTTTTAAAACTCTATTGTTAATGCTTCGTCCAGCCTACTTTTACAAATCCCAAATGATAGTCTTCCAACACTCTCTTGAAGACCGCTTGACTGGTTGAAAAGTTTTTTATTAAAATTTTCATAACGTTTTTAATAGGGCTGGTTTACTCTAAGTTAGAATACTAGATCGGAACCTTCTGTGTCCCCCTAGTAGGATACAAAAGTGCCTAATAAAATTTAATCTGCACATACCTGGTGTATCACGTGCTAAGTTCTTCATGTCTAACCATACATTAAATATATGGCTGAACATTCATATCCAAATACGGTGTCTAACACAATAGGGGTACGCAGGCAGTCTATATAAAGTACAGATGAAGAGAAAAGGTCCCACAAGTCTTGTGAGGTTTCACAGTAAAAGGATACGCACCGAGTGCCTCCCACGAGGTCCGCTGAGAATCCCACCCTGCTTGCCAGCACACACCTGCGGTCTCGCCGGCGGGCCGTCGCGCCGCCCGGCCCTTCCACCACGCGCCGACCGAGCACCCAGAGACAGAGCACCGCACCCGGACGTGTCCGTAACTGCTACCAAACCAGGGTGGAAGCAGACGCCAGCACAAAGTACGGTGGGCCAGCAGTTCGTGGCGCTTCAAGGTTTACGTTCAACAAAGAGGTTCAATCCTGGGATGACTGAGAGTGATGAAACCACCCTCCAGCGAGGTTTGCGAGCGTGGTTTCCCTTCTCTGGGAGAGGGATTTTAGCCATGGTCAAGGTCTCGGCTCAAGAAACATATGCAAGTTAAAATGTAGCCTGACATTTCAGAAAAGCTTATCTTGGAAAAGCGTCACTGTGTGAAACAGCAAGAAAAGATGTATTCAGAGACTCTAAAATCTCTCAAGCTTTCTCGCTTTTCCATATTAAGTTGATTCCAGGCAGCTGCCTAATGAAATGCTCCAGAGTGGGGTTCTGAACATGAAACTTTACTTAACCCGCATGAAGCAGATACCACATGTTTTCTGCCAGAAAGAGCACTGAGGACCAACAAAGCAAACCTGCCAGGTCAGACACCTTCCTGGAAGAAGGCTGCATCTCATCTCCTGGGCCCAGGATTTGACATCAGAAGGGAGAAATGTTTTTCACTTTTGGGGGTTTATTCTGATGTTGCAAAGGGTACGGCGGGAAAGCAGAAACAAATTTGAAGTGCCCTTAGGGATAGATTTTTATTTTCTCTATTTTCATGTGAGACTTGTATAAACAGTTTACGGGTACACCGTACAGGAATGGGGGGAACATCTACTCCACAGCACTGTTGTGTTTTCCTGCAGCTACAGCTGTACCGTCACTAGTTCTGACCACAGGACAGCTTCAACACAGCCTGCAGAACAGTTCTGCTGAAACTCAATCAAGAATGTAAGTTAATACTGTCTTTGCCATGGCCATATATATTTTATTTTACTTTTCCTTCAAGCAAAATATGACAACTTTTGAAAGAAATGAGATTTTGCGCTTCTGTTAGCATCGAGATTACAGCAACTTCTTTATTTTACTTCCCACGGTACTGCTCATTTACTTTGATTTTGTGTGGGTACTATCTTCAGATTTCCCTCTACTACTAAGTTCAGCCTTTAGTTTTTGCTATTGCTGCAAGTGGATTTTTGACGGTTGGGACAGACCTGTTCACCTACACAATGGTATCAAATCATTGACTTTTTTCACCAATTTTTACTAATTCATCGCACTGTCTATGTTTCCCTTCTTGCACTGCAGACTTGGTGTAGCTGTGTCAAGGTAAAAATTAGAAAGGGATATGGCAGAGGAAAGGGGTAGAGATGCTGGAATGTGTTAATTGAGGAATACAAAGTAAGGACTACACACCTATGCTGTTCTTGTTAACAAGCTCTCCAGTGCCACACCGGTTCTCCCGTTGCTCTTTGAGCACCAGGCTAATGTGACTTATTCTATGCTAAGGTGTTTGAAATTTACTGCCAGGCATGTTTAGTTTTCGGAGTCTGGTACATATTACAAAATACGCTCTTAGATATGCCTTAACTCCTGTCGCAGGCTTTGCTCATATGTCCTCCCACATGCCTGACAGCAGCTGCAGCAGTAAGATTGCCTGACCATCAGAACAGGTTTTATACTCTTTTCTGCTTTGCATTTTTACCAGGGCCGATATTTCATGAAGCTGTTCAGACACTTGTTGTCAGTCAGAAGTCTGAGTACCTCAGACTGTTGCAGTTACCTTAATAAAACAGTTTGCATCCTAGAATATTATTTTGATTTTAGTTTAAAAGTATGATTTTGATTTAACATGAAGCTACAGTAGCTCTGAGAATATAAAGTACACTGAGGCCCTTAGGATTAAGCAACTAGTATGCTGTGTGCCTTGAACACTATAACAATCGTTATGGACACTGAATTAACACAATAGGTATTGATTATGGATCTTGACTTGAAACAATAGGTACCAGAGGAAAACTGGTTTGGTTGGGAAGATCGGCCAAGGGAGAGGTGAACATTAACCAAAGGTGGAGTGAGCATGCGCAAGGATGGAGTTCAATCAGCCGACAGAGTGATGAAGACTATCGATGACCACCAGAGGACCCCCATCCAGTATAACCATGCATGCGTTAGAGACATTTGCATATGATAATAATCTCCAGGAAATAACATGAATATGCTAATCACTGCCCTCCCCCCATTCTATTTAAATCAATCGGTAAAGGTGACCAATGATTTCTGTAAAATAGGAATATAGATAAGATGAGGTAATGGAAAGCCAATCATTATTAAGGTCAACTTGAACTTTATGAATTTTGTTGATCTTATGTAACCATGACTCTGCTGAAAAAGTGTATAAATA